CCCCACCCCTACCCCCCGCAGCCAGCATGGAGCCTCCCAGACCTTTTAGGCCCAGATTCCCGAGCCCCAAACCAGACCCACTGACTCGGGGCCCTGGAGATCCCCAAGGGCAGGGAGGTTTGGGATCCCTGGTTGGACTTGGACCTGCGGGATTGGGGCCAGTCTCTGGGAGCCATGGGAAGAAGGTAGGCAATGTCGGGGCTTCTGGAAGGTTCCAGATGGGTCGAGCCCTGTGCGACACCAGGCGCATTGCAGAGCAATGGGGAGACGTGGGCCGGCGGGACCTGGTGCCATCAGCCGCCACCAGCAGGCACAGGGAGCCATGGCGAGCTGAGTCCCCAGGCTTCGGGGCAGGTGCCCAGAGGGACTCACGTGGGCCTGACCTCGTGGCTCCACCGTAGAAAAACAGGTGGAGGCCACGGTTGGTGCTAAAGGACAGACGGGAGGACCATGACAGCTGCATTTCTGCGCCCCGCTCCCCACCCCACAGCTGGCCTGTTGTGGGTCTAGTATCACCCCCATTTTGCTGATGGGGAAACTGAGGCCCAAAAAAGTGAAGGGACTTTTCCCAGGGGTCGAGGGCCAGTGAGTCGAAGCTCCAGGGGCATCGTGTCCTGCCAGGATGCTCCAGGGCAAACCCCATGGCTTTTGTGCCCCCAAATACCTTCTCACCTGGCCCCACGTGGCCCCTGACCTGGCTGCTGGTCTGTCCTGAGTCTAGCTTCCATCCCTCCTGCTCCAGTGGGCGTTTGCTGCAGCCAGAGCCCTCCAGGGCCTGCATCCTGCTGCGCCCCCGGCCGGGCTCACACCAGTCCCCACCCCCACAGTCCTCGACCCGCCGCGCGGGCCTCTGCTGCACCAACTGCCACACGACCAACACCACGCTCTGGCGGCGGAACTCGGAGGGGGAGCCCGTGTGCAACGCCTGCGGCCTCTACACGAAGCTGCACGGGGTGAGCGTGGCCCAGGGAGCTGCGGAGGAACCAGGCGGGGTGGCGCTTGGGCCTGGGCTGAGGTGTCCTATCTGTGTCCCGGCTGGCTGTGGCACCCCCAGCAGCCCGAGCCCTTCCCGTTGCGCCCACTGTGCGGAGCGGCTCACTAAGGCGCACAGCGTAGCTGCCGCTTGCCCACAGCCGCGCCGCCCTCAGTGCACCCCCAGGGCCTCCGGGACCCCGACAGCGCTGGGGGGGGCGGGAGCCCAGCCTGGGGGGAGAGCCCGGCCCGCTGGCGGCCAGCTGCAGGGCTGTGGAGACACAGCCCACTCCTGCAGTGCCGGCTCTGGGGGCCGGGCCGAGGGGCGTACGGTCACCCGGACGGGCATAGACAGGGACCAGCACCCTCCCACCCCGCAGGTGCCGCGGCCTCTGGCCATGAAGAAGGAAAGTATCCAGACGCGGAAGCGGAAGCCGAAGAACGTGGCCAAGACCAAGGGCCCCTCAGGTACGCGGGCCAGGGCTGGCCCTCGCGCGGGTCCCCGCGGGCGTTCGCAGTTCCCCGCCACTAGAGACGGGCGTATTCGGTTCAGGCGTCGTCCTACCGGAGTGCTCTGCCCTGTGGTGCCTTCGGGTGGGGCAGGGCGCCCGTGACGGGTGTGCATGGGTGGGGGGCGCGGGGAGTGAGGGAGCCACAGCAGCCCGGCACACGCGCTCACTGTGTGACCACGAGGAGTCTCTGTACCTCTCTGGGCAGGACAGAGAGCTCGCCAGGTGGCAGGAGGAGGAAGTGTGGCCACATCTGGTACCTTCTGTAAACGCCCCACCTTCTTTCCCAGGGTCCACAGCAAACGCCACAGCCTCCCCGTCCACAGCCACCAGCGCTGACAGCTCAGCGGCCACTTTGAAACCTGAGCCTGGCCTGGCATCCCCGATGTGCCCCGGGCCCAGCATCACCTCCCAGGTGAGGGACAGGGTGGGACGGGTGCCCAGAGCTGGATGCTGTGCACCTTGTCAGGGAGCCCCGAGGAGCCCCAACTCCTCGGCCAAGTCAGACCCCCTCGGCGCCCTGGGCCTCTCCCCGGGTGAGCTGGGCACAAGTCAGCCCTCGGCCATCAGTGTGGCCCTTCCGCAAGAGCGGGCTCTGTGCCCGTGCCAGGCCGAGAGCCCTGTGTGCCTGATCAGGTGCCCATCCCGATGTGCTGGGGGCCTTAGGGCAAGTCGCCCTGCCATGGGGGCCCCTGCTTTCTCACGTGTCTCCTCCTCCCTGCAGGCCTCCAGCCAGACAGACGCCGCGCTCGCCCCCAGCCACTTGGAGTTCAAGTTCGAGCCTGAGGACTTCGCCTTTCCCTCCACAGCCCTGGGCCCTCAGGCCGGCCTCGGCGGGGCCCTGCGGCAGGAGGCCTGGTGTGCCCTGGCCTTGGCCTAGGTGCCCAAGCTCACCGGCATCCGGCAGCCTCCCTGGAACAGGCGCCCACTGGAGTCGCCTCGGTGCCTGCTTTGCTTGCGCACAGTGGGAGGCCACTGGGCCCACCCACCGGAAGAGACCCGGTGTCTCCACACGCTATCGGGGCCTCCTGTAGGCAGTCGGGCTCCAGAACAAGAAGGTGGCTGATGGGGAACGGCTCAAGTCCCCATGCCCGGATAGTAAGGGGCTCCCCGGGCGCAGTACCAGCCTCTGAACCATGCTGGCCGCTGTGCAGCAGAGGCCAGCCAGGGCGCCACCGCCAGCTCGAATTCTGCCATGGCGCCCGCCTCAACATGTTTACAGGTTGCAGTGGTTGGGGGAGAAAACCCAGCCTCCTGTTGGAAAACCAGTATTCCAAGTGAGACGCCTGAGCCCAGGCAAGGAACAGGAATGAGGGGAACAGTAGACACAGGACCTGAGGCCTCACGGTCTGTGCTTCATTTCCAACCTTTGATGGATGGAGCTGTGGCACAAGACTGCCAAGGATGGGTGTGCAGGTCGTGCACTGTACGGATGCCACCCCAAGGGGAAGCTGTTCACATTGCAGCCATCATGGACTGTGTATTTATTTGGACGGTTTTGCAGAGGGGGCAGTAAAGGCCTTTTTCTGACCGAATCTGTGTATCATGACCATTTCTGGCAGGCAGAATAAGTGTCCGGGGACCCCATCCTGACCCACACAGAAGCACTGCTGGGGCTGGAGCTGACGTGGCCGTATGTCCCGACTTATCTGGGACCATCCTGTTTATTCTGTTGTCCCAGCAGAATTACTAGTAACACTCCCTTTGACTCACAAGCCCACCTGCTCCAGTCGGATGGGATCTTTGGGATCTCAGCTGATGGCGCTGGCCGGCAGTGCCTCTGCCCCGGAGGCACTGGGGGCCGAGGGGAGGAGGGCGTGCCGACCGCAGCTTGCCCTGACCGCAGCTTGCCCTGCAGAGGGGCCACGTCCTCACATCTGTCCGGTCGCTGCTTTTCACCAA